AACTGTGATCCTCAGACTTCAGCTTCCTGAGTAGGTAGGACTACAGGAATGAGCCCTTGGTGCCTAGCTTGTTCTCGGGATTTTCAACCCATATTTTAGTGCGCTTAAGTAAAGAATCAAAACTAAGCAGGTATCTGATTTTTCAGAAATCCACTAATATGAAGAACAGCAATAAAAACCACAAAGGAAGAGAGTTATTCAGAGGAGAAAAGATACATAGTTGAACTGAGGGTAAGAGGAGGTAAAAGTCCATAATTAAAGGCCTGGCTTTGAAGGGTTGGATGATATGATACTTGCCTAGTAAGGCAAAGGAAAAAAATAATTAATATAGTCAAAGAAATAAGAAAATGTATTATGTTCTTAAAATTAGAAAACAATCATTAAATCCAGAACTATTCAGAGACTTTAGGACTCTACTCACTAAAATTGCAAAGAGAAAAGTCACAAAAATCTCCTCCAACTAAGACACAACAACTGAGAGTGATATGGAGACTAGAAAAGAGACCAAAATTAGAATTTGATCCTGGTGGTCAAAATCTTAGCATAAATAGGGCACTTAACTATTCAAGAGGCTAAGATTTGCATTTCAAAGTTCAAAGCCAGCCCAGTCCAAAAAAAAAATGCTTAAGACTGTTATCTCCAATTAACCACCAGAAAACCAGAAATAGCATTGTAGCTAAAAGTGGTAGAGTGCTAGCTTTAAGCAAAGAGCTGAGGGACAGCACCCAGGCCCAGAGTTCAAGCTCCACAATGGACAGGGGAATGGGGGTAGAGAGGGCAAATCTAATATAAAGTCGTTCCAGGAAGCCAGAATCACATCTGTAATCCTAGCTACTCAAGAGGCTGAAGTCTGAGGATCATGGTTTAAAGCCAACCAGGCAGCAAAGTCCATGAGACTCTTATCTCCAATTAACCACCAGAAAAGCTGGAAGTGGAACTGTGGCTCCTGGATTAGAGCACTAGCCTTGGAACTGTGGCCCATATGGTAGAGCACTAGCCTTCAAAACAGCTAAGAGACAGCACTCAAGCCCAAGTCCAAATTCCAGTATCACTCTCTCACAAAACTACACATTGCATTTCTTGTCATCTTATCCTTTAGTATTGAAGAAAAGAAAGAAAACAAACAAACCTTGAATGTTGTGTCTACTTTTCCCCAAATCTTGATTTACCAAAAAAAAAAAAAAGTGTGTTGGTTTACTTCTTAATGAACAGAAAGATGAAGTAAAGAACAAAGACAAGAGACGTGGTGGCTCCAGCCTGTAATCCTAGATGAAAACTGAGGACTGTGGTTTGAAGCCACACCCGGCAGGAAGATCTCTGCAGGCTCTTATCTATAATTAACCAGGAAAAAGGCAGGAGTGGAGGTGTGGCTCAAGTGGTAGAGTGCTAGCCTTGAGTGAAAAAGCTAAGGAAATACATTCAGGACCCTGAATGTAAGCCCTAGAAAAGCTTCTCTCCCTCCCTCCCTCTCTCCCTCCCCGCCTCTCTCTCAGACCAAAGAGAAAAGTCAAAACCTTGTATTCATTTACACGAAAGAAACATACTTTCAGACAAATTAGTTTTGAAAAACAAATATCTAAGTAGCATTAAGCCCTAATTTTGGTGGATACACAACAGTAAAAGGAGCTAGCCATAGACTGAGAAGAGCATAGGCAAATACCAACAAAGTGACTTTCAGGATTCCTGTACCCAATGCATAACACTGAAAACAAACATAAGAGGGTCATTAGGGAGACCTTCTGCATTACTCCATTTAAGCAATTAGAGTCTAGTATAAAGATACATTTCTCTTTTGGCCTTCCCACACTTTGTGCTAATAGGAAAGCCTTCATTGTTGGCTGTTGTTTGACAGGAGTCTGACTAGACTGTAGAAAAATGGAGGGCAAGGACAATTGGAAAGGGCCTCCTGAGAGAGTTACTTAGCGTTGAACATACAAACAATACTCAATATTTTAAAACTTGACAGTGAAATTATTTATACAGATCAGTCCAACACAGTATCTCATGCCTGCCATAGGAGGCTGAGATCTGAGGATTGCATTGCAAAGCTAGCCCAGGCTTATCTATAATCAACCACAGTGGGTGGGGAGAGAAGCCAGAAGTGGAGGTGTGGCTCAATTAGTATGAATGCCAACTTTGAGTAGAGCAAAGGTGAGTGTGAAGAGGCTCTGAGTTCAAGCATTCAAGCCCCAGTATATTCTCCCTCCCTCCCTCCCTCCTTCCCTCCCTGCCTCCCTCCCTCCCTCCTTCCCTCCCTCCCTCCCTCCCTCCTTCCCTTCTTCCTTCCTTTCTTTCTTTCTTTCTTTCTCTTTCTTTCTCTCTTTCTCTCCCTCTCCCTCTCCCTCTCCCTCCCTCTCTCTCTCTCTCTCTCTCTCTCTCTCTCTCTCTCTCTCTCTCTCTCTCTCTCATACAATCCAGATCAATGAGCAATAAAAAAAGTCAAATGATACCTGCAGATTTCAGTTTAATTCATGACAAAAATAGTCTCAGACCAATTTGTCCTATGAATCAGGCCAAAATGATTCAACTAATGAATGCTTACCTACTCGGGTGCTATGCCCCATGTTTATCATAAGCTTTACCATAGTGTCCTTCTGTAGAAAAGCAATCATGTAGTCAGCCCAGGCAAGAAAGCCCATGAGACTCTTCTCTCCAATTAACTACCAGAAAATTGCAAGTGGAGCTGTGGCTCAGTGGTAGAGTGCTGGCCCTGATGTGATGAGATCAGGAACAGAGCCCAGGCCCAGAGTTCAAGCTCCAGGACCAGTACAGAAAGGAAGAAAAGAAGAAAGGAAGAAAGGCAGACAGACAGAAAGAAAGACAGACAGGAAGGGAGGAAGAAAGGAAGGAAGGAAGGAAGAAACGAAGGAAGGAAGAAAGAAAGAAAGACAGGCAGGCAGGCAGGAAGGCAGGCAGACAGAAAGAAAGAAAAAGAAAGAAAGAAAGAAAGGAAGGAAGGAAGGAAGGAAGGAAGAAAGAAAGGGAAAGAAAGAAAGAAAGAGAGAGAGAAGGAGAGAGGGAGGAAGGGAGGGAGGGAGGAGGAGGAAGGGAGGAAGGAAGGAAAGAAGAAGGAACAAAGAAAGGATCATGCACTAACAATCTAAAATGAAACTATTCTACTAATATACACACACTAACAAGTCTAGGATATTCCCTTTCTCACCTAAGGATCTTTAGATCAATCCTCCCATTATGATATAGATTGAAATGCTGCATGAAAATAGGTTTAAGCCTATGTGTACGCATTTTTTGTAACCCATGGCAATTGTTTACTGATTTCATTTTGTACTTTCAGCTTATTAGTAATTTGCATGCCTTTGGTTAGAGAAATATAGGCAAAGGAGAGCTCAAGTTCAAGCTTCTAGTTTAAATGCAGAGAACAACTTAAGAACCATCTCTCACACTGAGCAAGTCACAGGCTAAAATTGAACCTAGCTTCCTGGTAACTCCCAAATTGTCTTTTCAGTACTAAAGTAACTAGCAAAAGGAGATGCAAAACATCAGGTTGTACAATCTCAACTGCCAATTATGATTTCACCCACCAAATCCCAGCAGAATGTCCATGTCAATGACAGAATTCATTCTGTGATCCAAAAAAGATTAAAAATATTAAAGAGCAAGTGCCAGTGGCTCACACCTGAAATCCTAGCTACTCAGGAGGCTGAGATCTGAGGATCATAGTTGGAAGCCAGTGCAGGGAAGAAAAGTCCCTGGGAAACTTTTATCTCCAATTAACCACTCAAGCTCAACATGATAGCGTGCTAGCTAGCCTTTGAGCAAAAGAGCTCAGGGAGACAGTTCCCCAAGCCCTGAGTTCAAGCCCCACATCCGACAATTAATAAAAACTAAAAGAATACTAGTAAGGACAATAAATACCAGTTTGTGGTGCCCGATGAAGAATTTCTTTGGTGGTAATAAAGTTGTCTCCCGTATAATAGTCTCTGCCTCTAAACCATTATTGTTAAAGTATTTAAAAAATATTATACAGAGATAGACATCCTTCCTTTTTTCTAGAGACACAGTTTGATTGTTCCTGCTCTTTGGTTATTTTGTTTTGGTGCCAGCGATGGGGATTGAACTCAGGGTCTCTCCCTTTGGTAAAGGATGGTATTCTGCCACTTGAGTCTGGTTTTTTGTTGATGTGGGTTAATAAGAGTCTCTCACACCGACTTGCCTGCCCAGGCTGACTTTGAACCATGGTCCTCGCATCAGCCTCCATCAGCCACCTGCTGCACCCCAGGGCTTGCTTTCTGTTTTCACCTTTAACCTCTCCACTTTTTTCTGGACTCACTTTCCAGAGTGTGGAGCCCCGAAAGTAGAAAAGTTGGGCGCAAAGGAGAAAAGGACCCGGGGCGGAGAGCAGACATGAAGAACAGGTTCGCGAAGGAAGAGGGAAGATGTAAGTGTCAGCGCCCGCCCGGGCTTCTTCCCTCCCAGCGCTGCCCCAGACCCCCGCAGCCGGGGTGGGGCGGGGGGGGGGGGGGCTGTGCGCTCCTGTCACCTGGCCCGCGCAGGGCTGTGATTGGCCGGCGCCCCGCCAGTTCCCCCCCCCCCACTCCCTGCGCGCCAGACACGGGGTGAGACGCGGCCGCGCGGACGGGGCGCTCGGCTCCTTCCCCGGCTCCCCTCCCCGCCGTGGGCACCCCCCATGCCGGGGCTCGGGCTCCGCGTCGCCGGGGCTGGCGGGCGCGCACGGCCGGAGAGTTGGCACGCGCCTCGTCCTCGCCGCGATCGCCAGCCCGCCGGGGCCTCGCCGCCCTCTGCGCCCTGGGCTCCCACCATGGGGACGCCTCCCGGCTCCTGAAGAGTTGCCAGAGCCGGGCCGATCGCCCCCGCGATCCCCCCTCCCCTCCACCTGGAGTGTCCCGAGGAGCCGCGGGGCGGGCGGGCTATGGCGTAGGGTGAGCGCGTGGACAGAGCCGGAGGTCAGACAGACCGACAGAGACAGACCGAGACAGACTGGGGGGGCGGGGGGGTGGGGGAGAGAAGAAGAGGCAGAGATGAGTTTCCGCAAGGAGGACGGAGTGGGCAGCCTGTGCCAGAAGGCGCTGCACATCGTCACGGAGCTGTGCTTCGCGGGCCAGGTGGAGTGGGAGAAGTGCTCGGGCATCTTCCCCCGGGACCGCGGCGGCCAGGGCGCGCCCAGCACAGGTAACGGCGACCCCGCGGGGCGCCCGTCCAGGAGGGGAGCGGGACGGGGCTGGGGTGGGGGGGGTGGACACAAAACCTGCCTACCTCCTTCACCCTCCATCCTTCCTCCTGGCGCCCCGCAGCCGCTTGGGGGTCTTGGGGTGCGGGGTGTTAGGGGGAGGGGTGGGTTTTGCTTCTCCCACTCTGGTCGCCTTCCAGCCTCTCCACCTCCCCATCCTGTCTGGCGCTCGCGCGCTCTCTCTCTCTCTCTCTCTCTCTTCCACCCCCCCCCTTCTCTCTTTGTATGTCTTTCTGTCTCTCTCTGCCTCCCTCTGTCAGTGTCTCTCTCTGTATCCCCCCACATCGGTCCTCCCCCCCCCCCGCCCCCCGTTTCTGTCTAGATCTCCGAGCTCTCGCTCCTATGCCTCCAGGTTCCCAAGTCTAAGCACAGGCCAGGAGCCCAGGGGCGCCGCTCCCTCCCCGGCTCGCTGTATTTGCTCCGCTCCAGGCTTACCTAAGCGTCCAGGGTCACCGTCACCGGCTTGACCTTGACGGAGGGAAGGGGATCAGCTAGCTGGGGATCTGGAATCTGCGGCGTGCCGAGAACCCCGGGGGGGAGAGAGGAGTGGCTGCCCTGGCTTTGGGATAGGAGAATGAAGGGATCTTCCTTTGGGGGAACTTTCAGCTACAACCTGTCGAGCTCTTGGGAGTTTACAAAGCGTGTGAACACTGCAGTTCGGTGTCTGATGGCAAAAGAGCAGGGATTATTATGGTTTTTTTTTAAAAAAATGTTTACTTTAAGTAATTATACAAAAGAGTCACTATTAACCAGTACAGTGCCTCTTGACCAGTGTCATCCTATTAATATCGTCACCCATCCCTCCCACCCCACCCCTTCCCTCACTTCTCTTAATTTTTAGATTATGTATTGAATTTGTTCTCCTCATTTAACAAAGCAGTTTATCAGAGCAGAGATTATGGATCTCTTGTTGAAGACCGAGGCCAACTAGAGAGGAAGTGGATTAGAGGGTCTGAAACCCAAGCAATTCCTTCCCTGTTCCCATAACCCTTCCCTCACCCCCCCCCCCAAAAAAAAAACCAGGCACTTGCCCTACCCCTTCCAGCAACTTATAAGAACCTTAGGAGGGGTGGATGGGGGAAGAAGCCCCCTGTCAGAATCCTGGAGAGGGGAACTAAGGGGGGGTGAGGAGAGAGAGACAGAGAGAGAGAAAGACAGGGACAGAGACAGATGAAGGAGGGAAGAAGGAAGGAAGGAAGGAAGGAAGGAAGGAAGGAAGGAAGGAAGGAAGGAAAGAGGAGGGAGGGAAGAAAGAGACAAGGAAAGAAGGAGAAAAAAGGAAGGAGGGAGGGAAGAAAGAAAAACGAAGGAAGGAAAGAATCGAGATAGGAACTCCTTCCAGGTGACAGATTTCTCTCCTGTATGGGATACAGGGAGAATCAGAGCCACCAATAAGGTCATGCTGTAGGGAAAAAGATTTTAATGACCCCCGATAATGGTGGGTTTTCCCAGCTTTTAGAACTGCTCTTAGGAGTTAGGGCAACCTGGACCGGTGACCTTCAGGTCACTTGTTGATTTGGGAGACAAACACCACTCTGGAGATTTTTCAGCTCAGGGTGGTTCTTTGACTTTGCTTTGCTGGCTGTCCTTTGGCATGGTTTGGAGGTTGAGGGTCGCCAAGGCAACAGGTAAGAGCTGGACTGCCAAGCTTAGAGTGCAGAGCCCAGGATCAGAAAAATCCCAGGGGGCTAGGTAGGTAGAAAGGAGGGCGCACAAAGTAAGTCCCCTACCTTCTCACCCATCCCCCAGAATCCAAGACCAAAATGAGGAGGAGAATGATTCAATTTAGCTTGCTACACAAATACATAGACTATCTGCAGGGTTTTGGATGAAATTCTCTGGTGATGAAACAGGATCCAAGAATGGGGCTTCTGTCTGCAGCTGGCTGAGCCTGGGGTGCTATTGTTTGGATTCTGGAGGAAAATAAAATGTTGTTACTTCAGTGTGCTGGAAAGTTGGATGTGTGTGTGTGTGTGTGTGTGTGTGTGTGTGTGTGAGAGAGAGAGAGAGAGAGAGAGAGAGAGAGAGAGAATATATAGACACAATGAAGAATCATTTATTTTTTTCAGTAGGCATTAGAAGTCCTATGAGTGAATGAAACCCCAATAATAGGAGGAAAATGTCCTAAACGAGCATGTCATGTGTGAGATTGCTAATCAGGAGGTAAAGACCAAAATACAGATGACCTCCAGGCAGTTCTGGATAGCTCCTAAGTGACATAGAACTCTTAAATTGAGACTCAAAGCAGGTGGTACAGGGAAAGAAATGAGATGCTTTAAGTGTAATAACCTGGGTTTAGGTTATTTAACAATTGGTGCTGTGAATTAAATGTCTGATTCTTCCCCTCTCCTGATCACATAGCAAATAGTGACTTCTTAAGTCAAAATAGCTGGTAATAATGCTCATTTCTAAATCACTCTACAATGGATGGCTATGTAAGTTGAAGGTAAAACAAGCTCAGAAAAGATTCAGAGCTTTCCCAGAGCATTATAAGAAGCTCTAGGGTGGCTCCTGCTTGTAATCCTAACTACTCAGGAAGCTGAGATCTGAGGATGACGGTTCAAAGCCAGCCCAGCTAGTCGTGAGACTCTTATCTCCAATAACCACTAGGAAACTGGAAGTGGCACTGTGGCTCAAGCAGTAGAGCACTCGCCTTGAGCTGAAGAGCACAGGGATAGCACCCAAGCCCAGAGTTCAAGCCCCATGACTGATTAAAAAAAAAATACTGGAATGCTGAGGGAAAATACAAAGCAATATATTGTTCTCCAGTGTTTTTCAGTTATTCTGTTACTGGATTTGGGCTCATTTCTGGTCAGTCTTTAATAGTTGCTTAAATGTTCAACAAGCTCAAGGAATCTATGTTGCTTGTTAGAGAGACTTCATAAAAATCACAACTAATCAAACCAACTAAGTTCACAGCCCCTTACAGCTGTGTAAGATCTAACCCTCACTGTACATATGTTAATGAGCACTTAATTCATCAGTGTTTTAATTTTGCATTTTTGTACAATTCCAATTTGGAGCTAAAGATTATAAAAATTAAGCTAGGAGCTAGTGGTTCACACTTGTAATCCCTGTTTCACAGAAGGCTGAGGATCTGAGGACTGCAGTTCAAAGCCAGCCTGGGCAGGAAAGTCTGTGAGATGTTTATCTCCAACTAACTAGCAAAAAGTCCTAAGTGGAACTATGGCTTAACTAGTAGAGCATCAACTTTGAGTGAAAAAGCTAGACGAGCACCTAAGCCCTGTGTTTAAGCGGCAGTACTGACAGCAAAAGTAATTAATTAATTGTTCCAAGTTCATGAGTGTGTGTACATATATATATATACATATATATATATGTATATATATATATGTATATACATATATCAGTTTCTTAGAGATGAGGATACTGAGTTCAGTCTACAGTAATGAAAATACTATAAAAATATATAACTAAGTAAAAATGTTTAGGTAGCATTATGATTTTTCTCTGAGATCAAGGCATTTTGAGTTTATTGCTAAGTGCTTACATGGAATTGGAGCACCTGATATGTCTTCCTTTTTGGGACAAAAAAACAGATTAATAATTAAGAATTAATCATTCAAGTCATTGAATTATCCTTTTTTTTGGTGTCAGTTCTGAGGCTTGAACTCAAGGTCTTGAGGCTGCCCCTGAGCTTTTTTTTTGCTTAAGGCTAGCACTCTACCACTTGAGCCACAATTCCATTTCTTGTTAATTGGAGATACAAGTCTCACAGACTTTTCTGCCCAGGCTGGCTCAAATTGAGATCCTCATATTTCAGCCGCTTGAGTAGCTAGGATTACAAGTATGAGCCTGAGTTATCATTTTTGTATGAACATGGTTTGTAGACACCTTAAAAATGGTCTAAAGAATACACTTTAGACATGTGCATGTACACATTTTTCCCTTGAGACTTGCAAGCCTGAAAAAGAGTAATTAAACCACAATACATTCAATGAATAGACCCACCCAAAAAAGAAGATATGAGATGGTCATTTCACCCTCCAGTACATCCTCACTCCTGTGAGAAATGGTCAACTTCTACGTTTAACACCTTGTCTCACGTACTTTAAGTCTGTACATTACCCTTTGTCACATCTACTCCAAAAATCAATTAATTGGTGATTCTCCTCAAAGACCAAAGTCTCAGCAAGCATATGTCTTCTTTTATTCACAAGTGTCAATATTTTGGAAATACTGGAGACTTTTGGGGGAGGGTCTTAATATTTTCTTTCTTCCCTTCCTTCCCTTCCAGCCTCTTCCCTCCCTCCCTTCCTCTATCCTCCCCTCTTTCTTTCTTTCTTTCTTTCTTTCTTTCTTTCTTTCTTTCTTTCTTTCTTTCTTTCTTTCTTTCTTCCTTCCTTCCTTCCTTCCTTCCTTCCTTCCTTCCTTCCTTTCTTTCGGATTTTGAAGTAGTTCCAGGGCTTGAACTCAGAGTCTACCATACTTTTACTTGGCTGCTTTGCTCCTGGCTGGAGTGCCAGGGTTTGGAACTGAGGGTTTTGCCTCATGATAGGAGAATACTGCATGATGTGAGCGATACCTTAGTGATTTGTGTTCTGGTTATTTTTGAGTTAAGGTCTTGCTTGTTGTCCAGGCTGGCCTGGTCAGTGATTCTCCTGCTTATGCTTTCATCCACAGCTGGGATGACAAAGGCACATTACACTTTTTTGCACATTACACTTTTTTTTTTGTCAGTCATAGCTTGAACTCTGGGCCTGGGTGTAGTCTCTCAGCTCTTCAGCTCAAGGCTAGTGCTCTAACTTGAGCCACAGCACCACTTCCGGTTTTCTGGTGGTTAATTGGAGATAAGAGTCTCATGGACTTTCCTTCCACAGGCTGACTTTGAACCATGATCCTCAGATCTCAGCCTCCTTAGTAGCTAGGATTACAGGTATGAGCCACTTGGGCCTGGCTCACTCTTCACTTTTTCTGTTAA